GGGAAGTTCAGTAGCAAAGTCAAGCCCCACCAAACATGCCTCCCTATCCTAGGCAGCCCAGAGGCATGGGTCTGAGCAAAGGCAGGTTTCTGCAAAGACCTGGGGTAGGGGTTGGGGAGCCGACCCTTCGAGAGCAGGTTTCCATCCTCATGCCCATTTCCGGGATTTCAGGGAGTCTCATTCTGGGTCATCCCTCTCCTGTGCTTTGCCCTCTTTTAAGCTCCTCTGTTGTCCCCAGCCCCCATTCATGCTTCCTGGGTGGAGTCCTGCAGGGCCATTGTTCCCTCCTGATGGAGCCAGGCAGCCTCTGGACTTCTGTGAGGGCAGGAGGAAGGGATCGGAAGCTGCCTGGTCATCTGGCTTCAGGCCCAGCCTGTGAGATTTATTTTGCTGTAAAAATCCCATCTCTTTCTCTGCTGTGAGTTACATTACAAAACGTCCCTTTAAACTGAATCCAACAACACAGAAAAAGGATTATACACCATGACCAAGTGGGATTTATCCCAGGCTTAACATCCAAAAATCAATTAATGTAATATACTATATCATCCAAAATAAAGGGCAGGAGCCACACCATCCTCTCAACAGATGCAGAAAAAGCATTTGACAAAATACAACACCCCTTCATGATTAAAAAAATAGAAAGAAAAGGAAACTTCCTCAGCCTAATAAAGGGCAGCTACAAAAAACTCCACAGCTGACATCATCCTTGATGGTAAAAGACTGGATGTTTTCCCCTTGAGAGCACCTCTTCTATCCAACATTATATTGGAGGTTCTCACCAGGGCAATCAGGGAAGAAAATTACGTAAGACATCCATATTGAAAAGGAAGAAATAAAACTATATTTGCAGATGACATGATCTTGTATACAGAAAATCCTAAGGAATTCACTAAAGCAGTGTTAGAACTAATAAACTAGTCCAGCAAGGTTGCAGGATAGGATACAAGATCAATATACAGAAAGCAACATTTCTATACACTGGCAATGAAAAAATTAAAATTAGAATTAAGAAAACAATTCCATTTATAATAACATCCAAAAGATCGGAATAAGCTTAACAAGAGAAGTGCAAGATTTCTACTCTGAAGACTACAAGAACATTGTTGAAAGAAGTTAATGAAGACCTCGATAAATAGAAAGATTCATCATATTCATGGGTTGAAAAACTTAACTGTTAAGATGGCAAGAATCCCCAAATTGATCTACAGAGTCAACACAATCCCCATCAAAATTCCAGCGACCTTAGTTGCAGAAATTGACAAGCTGATCCTAAAATCCATATGGAAATTCAAAGGACCCAGAATAGCCAAAACAATCTTAAAAAAGAACGGAGTTGGAGAACTCACACTTCCCAGTTTCAAAACTTACCGTAAAGCTGCAGCAATCAGGACAGTGTGGTACTGGCCTAATTAGAGACATATAGGCCAATGGAATAGAACTGGTCCAGAAATAAACCCTCACATTTACAAAAAAAAATTGACTTTTTTGACAGAAGTGCCAAGACCATTCAATGGAGAAAGAATAGCCTTTTCAACACATGCTTCTAGGACAATTGGATTGCCACATGCAAAAGAATGAAGTTGGACCCCTACCTCACACAGTTAACCAACAATGCACCACAGACCTAAAAGCAAGAACTAAAACTATAAAACCCTTAGAAGAAAATAGACATAAATCTCTGTGGCCTTGGATTAAGCAATGGTGTCTTGGATACAATATCAGGAGCACAAGCAACAGAAAAAGAGACTTAAACTGAGCTCATCAAAACTGAAAACTTTTGGCTTGTAAAAGACATCGACAAGAAAGTGAGAGGACAACTCAGAATGGGAGAAAATACTTGCAAGAAGTCATTAATCTGACAAGGGGCCTGTGTCTAGAACATATAAATGACTCTTACAACTCAACATTAAAAAGACAAGTAACCCTGGGCTTCCCTGGTGGCGCAGTGGTTGGGAGTCCGCCTGCCGATGCAGGGGACGCAGGTTCGCGCCCCGGTCCGGGAAGATCACACATGCCGCGGAGCAGCTGGGCCCGTGAGCCATGGCCACTGAGCCTGCGCGTCCGGAGCC